TCCTTGGACCAAAGGCCAGAGGGACAGGGAGTGCATTTGGAAAACTAACAGAGACAAATTAAGAGTCAGAATCAGATTTATTGGCCAAGTATGCGTAGAAAAGAAGGAATTCTACCCCGTTTCTGTCATTGCTCTCAGTGTTCTTACACAGAAATAGACATGGAGTTGTAAGGTTGTCAATCTCCAACTTGAACCACAGGAGTCCATGTACTGCTGATATGATATATGAGGCTCCCTCTGTCTGCCCATGCCAGCTCTATAGGAGGCAGTTTCATCTCTCTCTGCAGGAAAGACCAGATTTATGGAGCTGAAACTGTACGCCTGTATATATGCTTTTCCAACTCTCCCCAATCTGCACCCAATGAGGAGGGTTAATAATCAGAGAGCTCAAGCAACATGGAGAAGAAAATCTGCTTAATGTAACACAAATAAACAGATTATGATACCGTGGAAGTAATATTTTTCCTCCTCTTCTTATTATATGTTATGATAATCAGATCTTAGTTTGGGGTTTTTGTCACACAGACACATTCTCCTACATACACCAGCTCTCTCACACATGCACACACTCCTCTGTTTATGGACAGCGGGTCTTCCTCCTCCTGTTTCCTCTGTCTTCCAGCCTGCCTGCCTCCTGCTGCTTAGTCATAAACCCGCGTAATATGTTTAGCATGCTCCGCGATCATCTCACGACCACGGCTCAAGGCCAGTTGCTGCTATCACATCAGCATTGCGAGGCCGTCGGGCCATCACAGGATACGCAACACTGGTATAAAGTATCTGTGCTGAAATGTCAGGAAAGCCAGGTGGTTTCTGATTTCATTACCGGCTTTTATTATAGCATTTTATTTTATATCTTATGTTGTTTATCCTCGCTCAAATTTCCTGTGACTATCTGTGACTACTATGCTGTACACACATTCATTTATACACATACATTTAACCGTGGTTTGTGAGGTTGAATCAGTTGATGCATAACGATTTTCAAACCGTACAAATATATACTGTATATAATACTGAAGAAATCAAATTAAATACTAATGAAAGAATCCACCTTTCCTTCCAACAACTCCAAAGCCACCACAACCTTGACTTTGCATGGTCTGCTACACATTTGTTCATTTAGAAATAGAAACCAAAATATTGTGGTCTATCAAGCAACCTCCCAGGCTCTATTGACTGACCATCTATCCCCAACGACCGCCCCAGATGGCGAGTCCTCATGTTAAAACCACAGGGTTTACACACCGTCCATTTCTGAATAAAACTCTGGCAATACCCGAAGGTACGAGCCCGTCCTCATTCACAATATGGTCAAATACCAATGTTTTGTCACGCCCCACTGGGCTACAATGGAAACCCATCCACGTCAGGTGATGTAGAATAAAAAGAAAGTCTCCACCTGGAGGATGAATGGATGGCTCAAACAAACACAAGACTTTCACCCAGGAGACCAGGGTTAGTGTCCCACCCAGGGATACTCTCCCATGTGAAACCAAAAGTAAATTTTGAGTTTGAAGTTACGTTAAGTGCACCACGTGACCTAAACCTAACCAAGTTGTTTTGGTCTTTAACCAAACTGGGAAATAGTGAAACGAATGATTGCTAAATAACATTTGGAAGCTTTAGTTTCAGGGTCTTGTTGTTCATGGCCGCTCACCGGCTCACTGTCCTGGCTTACTGATAGAACAGAGGCATTGTTAATGTATTCAGCAATACCGAGTATGCTGTGAAAACAACACATTCCTCCTCTTTCAGTGGAAGTCAGCCAGCTCACCCAACCTCAGCCAAAGTTAAGAGCTATCATGTTATACACCAGTCTGTCATAAAAGTAATGTTTATCCAGCATTAGTAGCACTGATAACTGTAATGTTATCACCTATTACTGAAGAATGTAATAACATCACCGTTAAGCATTACTATAATGTGTTAATGCCCATCACTGTTTATTTGGGCTTTACACAATAAGCAGGCTCAAAAGCAAACAGCTATTATTTTGGAAACAGGAAAATCAGTTGAGTACCAAACCAGACCCCTGAGTGTAGCTAGACTATTTTTTTTTTTTTGTGTCAGTAAGTGCTTCACTTTCTTGAAATTCCCTCTTTCTTCCATTTCAATACACTTAAGGCTAACTTCTCAGAAAGTCTCTGGTTCTTTGAGGTTTAACTGAGCCAATGAGATTTTCTGCCTCCAGAGCAGCTCTGCCTGCGAGATTGGACCAAACTTCCAATCTGTGCATAAATGAAATTCAATCTGCTGCATGCATACATGCACATGCCAGCTGGAGTCAGGGACAGTCGGGCAGACAAATAGACTTCCCAGTAAACTAGACTCCCCCAAAGAAAGATTTAGAGAACAAATCTCATAGAATATATAATGCATATACACAGGAGGGCAATCAAAAAATGGGCCTCCTTCCTACTGCCTCTGTCTCTCCATCTCTCTCTTTCTTCCTCTTGACCTCCTCTTCGGCTCTTATCATTTCCTCACCAAACCTCACTGGATGCTGGACTGCCATAGATCAAACCCGCATGACTCTGGGAAATGGTTCAATTCCAGATTCACCCTTCTCTACAGCAAATAATGATCTGATCAGATTTTGGGTTTAGTATGAAACCCGTGCATAACTTGCTCCATGTGGTGTGTGAGCAAGTAACCCATATGTGTGGGTAGGCTTACAGTAAGGGCTGTTCAACAATGCCAAAATGTTTCTACTCTGTATTTTCCATTTCACTTTATCCTGTATATCTTTTCCTGAAGTAGACATATACAATAGTGACTTACCCATCATTTACAACTCTGTGTGTGAGGAATGGGATGACTCATTCGCTACAGACATATCGTATTTGCAAACCATTCTTGGAGTATGTTTTAACCTGCCTGGAGAACAGTTTGGGTCTGTGTTTCTTGGTTGACCTAATGTTAGCTTGAAGAAAGTGAAAAAAGATACACAGTACTCGTCATTTACCAACACATCAACCCCATCAAGCCCGTTTGTATGGCTACTGTTTTATCATACATTAACAAAACAAAGGACACACACAAACCAAATGTAACAGTTGAGTTGAGAGGTAAAAGCTCAGCAATAATACACAGCAGGTGAACCGCTCAACTAACTCAGGACAGGTTAGGCACTGTCTGATAACACAGCATCTTAAAGGCACATTTCACAATTTTGGCTGGTACAGTTTGCAACACCAGAGTAGCTCACTGAGTTGACTTTGCTCATTACATCATTGTTGTGTAGTTCTGTGCAGGGACTCTCTGTGGTGGCCTGTAAGAACAGGAAACAGCCACATTTAAAGCAACACTATGTCAGATTTGTTGCATTTTGGCACCCACAGTTTCAGACTGCAATACTACTGTGGTAAATATAGACAACTGTACATACGCATTTGTTATGATTACATTAGTTATGATCAAAGACTAGCGAGACCAACAGTAAGAAGGCCAGCTCGCTGTCTGTATGGAGCCTTTTATTTCAGGAAGATCTTGCCAATGACTAAAAGTCAGTCCCAGATTTACTTTTGTCCGTCATCTTTCTCCTTTTCTATTCTTGGCTTCCTCTTAGGTCTCTTCTCCTCTGCCATTAGACACACTTACTCACCCAGCTCCGGTTTTGGCAAGACGCCGGCGCTATTGTAAGGTAGAAAAGTTGCATAAAGGGGCTTTAACAGATTAATTTAAGACACAAAGCAAAATATACATTTAACATGACTAAACACAAAACAAAACTTTTTTACTCAACACATTTCACAAACCCAAACGGTGGGTGCCTTGTCTCATTCCTATTCTCATTTTTTGATTAAATGTCTACAAGGTCACTGATTTGTCAAATGTTGTGATTTCTTTATTATCTGTGTATCTTTTATTCATTTATTTTTATGAATGCTATTGTGTTTTGCACTTCAAAACCACTGTATATATGTACATGAGTGCCAGCTGTAATAGTAGCAACTTCTCCAATGCAAATAACAATAAAAATCTCATTATCCTCCTCATGATTTCTGTTTTTGCTTATAATCTATTATTTTGATATGACATGACATCTTAATTTATATTAAAAAAAATGTTTTGGCAGCAAGTGACCTTTCAGATGTTTGAGCTACTTTGGATGCATTCCTGGAGAATCCATTTTAAAATAGACGTTGCTTTTAATTATACATGTCATGTGAACGTTGACTTAAAAGATTTTGTTATGTTATTGTAACTTTTGTTATTGTTATTTATCAATGCTAAACCATTGGCATTAGTTTTTAATTTTTATATTTTTCTGACAACCTGAAGCAGGAAACTAGCAGTCTACGTAGTACTAGAAAAAGACTAAAACAAGCACAAAGAAAAACCTTTACTCATGTGGGGGCTTAGCATCTTCTTTCCATTCATCAACCTTCACCTCCGGGGCACATCACAGAGATGCAGGGCAGTTGTGGCCCAGTGGGGTCAGAGATATACTGCCATGTGTATCCAGATAGGCAGACAGCTTCCTCCTCTGACATATACACTGGCCTTACGGGGCCTGAGGCCAGCTGGGAAAACTCTGGAGATGTTCACACAGGGGGATGAGGGAATACTGTCTGGAGTTTGATGTATCGGGAGAAACCTTTACATGCTACTTGTGTATGGAACATTTATGTAAACACATATTAAAGCTTATAGTTCAAATATAGATAGAATAGATTTAATGTTATTTCTGTCCGTGTGAGTTTCCTTCAAGTGCTGTGGTTTCTCCCTACTATCCAGTAATATGCAAGTTTAGCATATTGCCGTCTCTGAATTGTGAATGTGAGTGTGAATGTTATCTGTCCATATGTCATTGGCACTGTAATGGGCTAATGTACTGACGTCACAGATTAGATTAAACAATCAATGCACTTTTTATCATACATATGTGGGAAGCCTTTTTTCTTTTCTCTTTTTTCTTTTTGAAACAGGATCTGTAACTCTCTTCCGTACTGACAGTCATATGCATGTAATATGTTAATGAACAACACAGACTCTTAAATTTGATCCATTTATTTTTTATTTTTACTAGTTTATTTTTTACAGCAGTAGATGATTGCAGAATCAAAATCAGTAATGGTTAACAAGCAAGGAAACTAAGTTGTTCCACAGTCAATTTCTTAAAATGGCACTGCATGAGACAATGTACTGTTCCCACTCCCACTCTTACTTAAGTGTGTTTGTGGGAGATGGACACAAGGGTGGTGGGGCCTAAGGTGCTTTGTAGACATGATTAATGAATTGATTTGTTTAGGAACTGTAGTTAATCAGTGAAAAACACAAACAAATTTTGGATTCAGGCAATGTAGCATTTCCAGTTTAATAGCTTTCTTTGCTTAAAAGTAATGAGAGGAATTCAATAAATTAGATATAATACTTTGAAAGGTACTTTGATTTCACTTTCAAAACACCCCACACACCTAACATTACACATATAAAGAATGGGATAAAGACTTTCCCTCCAGTTACCATTTCTTCCTATGTATATTTATTTTCAAAGCTTATAAAGTGCAGACATGCATTAACACTTAAAAGCTTGTCTTTGTTAATTTGGGAAAAGTAATTTTTACACTAACAAATTACCTGAATGCTACCTCTGCTAAAGATACACCATTCTCCCCACTATCTTTCCAGGACTGATACACAGTTAGAGCTACAGTAATAGACATAGAAAGATCTCCAGACACATTGATGAGCTGAGCCCTGTCCTCCACCAGAAAAGTAAAATAAGCAAGCAGATTCTGCACTGAAGTGCATGAGCCAATATTCTGCACTGAATTGCATGAATAACTCCTTAGTTTCTGAGCCTTTTGTAAAATACAGCTGCAACACCAAGGGCAATAAGGCAAGCAAAGGCAAGGACGCCAACAGCCACACCAAGTCCGACAGCAGAGTTGCCTTGTTTTTCGGCAACAAGAGACTGCTCCTTGGACTCGTTGTTCTCGGTTTTGGCGATGATCTCTGGAGAAGAGATGGTATAGGTCTGGGTTATGCCCTCTTCAGATGTGTCCAGGGTGCTCCTCCTCCGTCTCTTATTGCACTGCTTAAAGGCGCTGCAAGTGCTTTTCTCACACAGCCGGGTAATGCAGTGGAGGTAGTAGGTGGACACAGTCTCATTCTGCTGCTCAATGAAGCGAAAGGCCGGGAAGCGGAAGCGGGCACTCTGGCTGTCTCCATTCTCAATCATGGTGGTGAACTGATCCTTTGAACAGGGGACAAACAGGTTGAAGTAGCTGGAGTTTGAAGGCAGTGGGGAGATTGAGGCATAGCACCGGTCAAGCAGGACGTGGTACTGCCCTGTCAAGTTGGTGGCCTTGACCTCGACATACACACTGGTCCTCAGTTCAATCCCCAGCTGTGGAATGACCATTGGTCTGGTGTAGGTGTCGTCACTGAACAGCTCCATGCTTAAGGTGCTGATGAAACTCCCATTGTTGTCCTTGATTGCGATGGAGGAAGCAGACACATCGATCTGGGTGTTGTTGATCAGATATTCTAAGGGATAGGCGCAGGAGTAGTAGTACTTAAGCTCAGCGTTGTAAGTGATTGTGCCTGCTGTAGGATCGCTGGACCGAACAACACCGCTGATGTTGACCGACTGGATGTTGGAAAAGTCTGAGAATATACCTGTCCCGGTAGCACTGGTGGTCCTGAATATGCTTCCACAAGCGTGGGTCATATTTAGTGGGAAATTGAAGCGAGCAACAGGTGGAGACACAGAATCATCAAGGGTTGCTTTACAGACTGGGTCCAGCATATGGTTCAGGATCAGTAGAGTCTCATTGTAGCCAGTGTAGATGACAGGGCAGATCTGAATCGCGAGACCAATGGATGAAGTACCACACTCCACTGCGATGTCAGTGACTTGTGGTCGTCTTGCTTCTACTCCACACTCACTCAGCATTAGCTGATCACTTCTGGCTATCATGGAGAGTAAAAGTAAAATAATCATTGTTATTTTCAGCTTTGCCTTGGATTTGTTTGGATCTCTCTGCTTAAATTTTGACTCTGCTGCTGAAGGCTCGTAGATCTTCTCAGTTGGTTTGAAGTTTATGGGCTGTATTCAGGGGCCTTTATAGGTAAGTGTGTCTTCTGGGATTGGTCCAAAACAAGGTCAAGCACCTATTTAGTGAACAAGTGAAAAGTATTAAGAAGGAGAACTCCATCCTGGACCATATCCTAAGGGCAATAACTGAAACCTGAAGCATCTTCTTGTCTTGAAACACAGACAAGACAATGACAGGCAAAGACAATGGCCCTGTTCCTTTGTGTAGTGTGCTTTAAAATACTTCCATGACCCCTATAACTAATCCTTCATGAAGTAAGTGAACATAACACTGCATGAGGTACATTTAGGCGTAACCAATACAATGCTGCAAAGCAGCTTCAAAAATGACCAAGATGGGAACAGGCAGTGACCCACTGGTTGATTCATCATGGTGTGCCTTATTAATCCTGACATTTCTTTGATACTAATAGTCATAAACAACATATAGAGGAAAGATAATTTATTTGTTGAAATCTAATGATACTTCAGTGGTTACATAAATTATGTAGCAGTGAGATTTCAGATTGCGACCAACTAAAATCCCTTGACTCAACCAAGCATGAAGAAGGCAAAGGTGGCCACAAAACTTGTCAGTTTTGGTTTGTCGGTTCTGAGTTACATATATATACAGTACTTGTTAGCAATTAGTTTGGTTTGAATTGGTGTTTTTGTGTTTAAAAACACCACAATCCTGGCAAAATGGCATGGAAAATTCAAAACCCATTCATTTTTCATATAGCCTACACTACATATCATGTCTGTGTGTTGAAGGGGGATATGGAAGATTTTGGTTTCATTTTGGTGTCACATATGGGAGGCGTATCAGCCTATTATATTATATATATTGGTAAGCTATTATATTCAGAGGCTAGTGATGAAAGGACAAACTGATCCTGCAGTGTATTGTAACGGTAACTCAATCCAAGCAGTGTCAGCGGAGACAAAGATAGTAAATCCTACTGAATCATGACAGAGACCAGGCAGGGCTTCAATAGCACTGCAGCGAACTGTAAACTCTATAAGAGCCAAATACATGAAACTTACATAAACGAAGCTCATACATTAGCTCCAAACATTAAAGGACATGGAGTTCACCCACATTACACTGTATCGCTTTCCAAATCCTCAAGAAACATCTCTTTGTCTCTTGACACACAAATATAACCAAACCTCCATAAGCAATTTATAATTTGGTCTAATTAATATAAACATTACTCATTATGGTAAACCTGTACTGCCCATTTACAGATTTTATGTTGAGCTGTTGAATGTGATGAAGCTAGCAAAACACAAACAGTCCCACTGGACCAGCCAAGTTAAAAATACATACAACACACGAAACTCCAGACACTTTTACCACACACCTAATTGTACCCTTGCCTCCTTTTTTCATTTTGCCTTATTCCCATCTGCTTATTCCCATTTTGGCCATTTTAGCATACATCACATAGGGAGTATCCATACTATCATCTTAGTCAGTCAGTGATATTATGATGGTCAAGGTTGAAAGTTATGTAGACTAACAAAACATGGGTTTATACTGAACAGCCAAAGAGCACTGAGCATGTCACTCACCACTTTTGCCGCAAGGAATGTCTTCATTATGACCCAGTTTTTAATGTCCCCACTATAATAGGACACCTTTCGCCTTTGTACCAGTGCAGTATTAGACACTGACAGGATGTTACACCACAGACCTACTTTAGCAGCACAGATTCTGACAGTGTGTGGGGGGTTTAATAGTTCTTACCATCTGAGTTGGAACTTCACATTAAGTACTTTATTTTATAGATTAAAAAAATATATAATACCAGATGGTTTCTTCTTATGTCATTTCTAAAGACACAAAAACATAAAATACACATGTATATACAACGTAAAGATAGTATGAACAAATAGCAATCATAGAAAAATCATTGATGTCAAATTATACAGTTAACCAAATGAACAATAAGTAATCCCATTTGTGCTGAAAGGGTCATTTGAATATGTCATTCATAGATAAAAACACTTTTTTTCTCTTGACTCTTTATCATACACACTCACATTTGTCCTGTCAGTCCCATTAGATCCCCTTGTTGTCCTTTATTAATGGACAACATTAACAGCAACATTGTCTGTGGTGATGACATCAGACAGGAAGTGAGAGGAAGGACGACAAACAGACTCTGTCAAAGTCCTGCTGTGAATTTATCAGGGTACGGGGCTGGTGTTTGGGGGATGATGGGGTCACGAGGGTGGTGAGGGAGGGTCACTGCTCTCCTGCTTGCTCACCTCCGCTCTGGCTGTGTGATTAATGCTCAGAGCCTTCAAATCAGCCGGAGGGTCTGCTGTGTTGAGGAGTCGCAGAGGCGGAAACACGGAAAAAAAGAAGAAAAACGAGGTGGGATTTCTGTTTGGAGGAAAAATACAACCCTGTGTCGCTCCTTTACTGCACAGGTCGTGACCAAATGGCTCTCTGTTATGATTGGGCCTTATGGGTTATTTTGCCAGGCTGCTTGCAGCAGCGAGGTGATGACAGCTCCTAAGACAGAGGAAGTGAAGTGATGTGACTGTCAGCAAGACTGTACCGAGAACACAAGCTGAGTGTTAATCTGTCACTCTGACCGGAGCTTCTATTGTTTTGAATTGTGGTCTGAGCTGACCTCAAACAGTCACAGCCATCTTACAGGTCTCCCATGATGCATTTGTTCTCAATCTATTCAGAATTTATATAGCTACTGGTGATTATATATTTTTGACTGTCGAATATTTCTGTAACATTGTGTGTTTCCTATAGCCAAACAATTCATGCCACTAAATCCTACACCCTAACTTTCTTACCTACCTTATACCTTTTTAAATAAATTAGTCCTTTTAATGCATGCAGTCCTGATAACTCTGATAATTTCTAACAGTAGAACAGAATACAATACGGCCTGTGTGAATTTGCTTTAACCTCAGTAGAAGTAAAACTGTAAATATACCTGGATACAGGAACTACAAAATACAAGTTTACAAAAAAGTGGGATTTCTGGTAGAGGTTTGGTGTACAGTACAAACACACATACGGGATGCCCTACCATACTCATGCTTACACACCTTTCCTCTTCTCCCCATGTATGGGCCTGTGCTAATTGAAAGCTTGTCTGTTTCATACTTTTCTCTGCCATTTCCTCCTCTGCTGGTTGGGTGCTGCTTTTCCATTATAGCCTTGACCCGGTTCACACCAGATAATATATCACCCCGTAAAGCTAGCCGCCATAGAAGTCGACCCAGCACCCAATTGTTGTGCTAAGGAAATGAAATGTCACATTTGAAATGTGTTAATGCTCTAAGGTACAACATGCTGAATGTTTATTAGCACAATACTCTGTAACATTTATTTATTTGGAAAAGTTACATAAAAGAATGAAAAGTAATGAGCGGACAGCTGACTTCTATAATCTATTTGAGTGCAGAGCTGGTTGATAGGCTCTCCAAGGATTTCCCTGCAGAGAAGAAGTTGCCATGAACACAATTCTGAGATGTAAACCATGCAGCAGTAATACACTTTTAGAGCCAAATTCAAATTGTCCATACTGGGTGTGTGTCAGTATTAATAAAGTTGTTTTGTAAGGTCAGTAATTGACACCACAACCTCCTCTGCACTGAAATGGTCCTTTTATGTTCTATGTATACACCAAAAACTAAGCAAGGTCAAAACTGCAGAAACAATACAGTCAACTTTCTTTGGTGGCAATTTGAGACTTCACCGACCTCTTTGCTGAAACCAGAACTCCTTTCACTCTGATCAACCAAAGTCTGTTCACAGAGGTGCGAAAGTAACACAGTGTTAAGCAGCATTACAGCAAAAATTTAAGAACAGAATTGTGAATCTTACATGCAAGAAGGACAAGTTGATATAAATCTTTTTTTTTTTTTTTTTTTTTTTTAATTTCTTGTTGCTGCGACGTACAGGGATACAAACCACATATGAACTGGCTTTTGCCATCGACTAGAGTCAGCAGTTTTAGTCAAATAAATGTGTAATATCATGTGCAACAAGTGGCGAAATTGCAAACTTTATTATTATGTTATTTTTTATGATGAAGAAAAAAACATTTTGTCTGAATGTAAATGTGAAGATATGTCATAGAGAATAGCAGCATGAGTGACTGTTAGATAACAATAACCATTGGGGTTAAATACAGTTTATTAGATAGACAGAAAAATGGCAAAATAACCAAAATAAATCTGTTCTCGAGGGTTAATTTGTTTTTCCCCCATACATGACACACAGGTATGAGAAAATGTATTACATTTATAAATGTAATAAATAAGAGCAGCGTAGAAATAAACATGTATGAATCACACTTTCCCACACACTCACTCTCAACACACTCAAATGGTTCATGCATCAGTGTGGCACTGATTTACGAGGCACTGAATATTTCTTAGTGATGCCTGTTGCTGCGTTTGTCTTTCATGTTTTACACACACACACACACACACACACACACACACACACACACACACACACACACACACACACAATGCATGTACACACACGGTGACTGCTGCCCTTTCATGTGTGGAAAAGGGCAACTGCAGGGACCAGCTGTTAAGAACTGAAGCAGATATGTCCCTCTCCCCGGAGCAGTTGCTTTCCTGCAGCTAGGTCACACATACGTTCATGTATACACACACACATAAATGTATACGCAGACACACACACATTCCTGTACCGTTATAAAATGTCATTGGATTTGACGTAGTGTTGACTGCCATTTACCCCGGAGAGCTTCTGGTTGGGTGGGACGGAGGCTGAGTGTGTCTACAGTTTCATAAGGAGCAATATCTGAACATGAATAAGAGAATAACTCAAATCTCCTCCTGCTGTGCCTCCTCCTCTCATCTCCTTTCCTCCGATATTCTACCCTGTCCTACATTTTTTCAATTACAACTTCTTCCCTTTTCTCTCTCTTTCCTTTCCACTACCTTCCTTCCCTCCTTTCCTTTC